TGCTATTGCTATTGCTATTGATACCAATTTGGCTGTTCATAGACAAAGATATGCTATGTTCCTGCTCCCTAGGCAGTGGTGGGTTGCTAATCCCATTCTAACCCGCGGTGCCCTCGTGGACGCGTGCAGTTCACGCATGCGTCTTAGCGCCTGCGCAATGCTCCAGCTGCTCGGGGAGAATTGCGCAGGTGCTGTATGTGCCATGCGCCTGTGTGGAAGCGCAGAAGCCTTTAAAGACCGGTAAGGAGCGAGGGCGGGCAGGTGGGCCCTTCGGCGTTCCCGGAAGTTACTTACTTCCGGGTTCACCGACCAACTGGTTCGCGCGGACCGCCGCGCACCGGTTGAAACCCACCCCTGTCCCTAGGTGTCCTTTAACTGGAACCAACTTCTGAGAGATAAATAGGAATAAAAGAACAGTTCTGCAACTTGCACTCTTACCAAAAAATAATCACAAATGATGTATTGGTGGTTTAACTAAAGCTTTGCTACTGTTGTATCTACTCCAGTTTATTGGAGCCTAGCAGCATCTTGCCGAACACGCTTATAACATATTCATGAACAAGCATTCTTACTCACATAGGCAATTTCATGAGTATCCAGGTAGGCAATTTATTTTTTGACATCAGTAACTTCCAGAGGCCGAACTCAGAAAGTGCCTTTTCTTCTTCTGCCTAGGATGGTTGCATAAAGAAGTAAAGAACGGTCCCAAAATGTCATCACTGAAACTGAAGAAACGTTGGTTTGTTCTGACGCACAATTCCTTAGATTATTATAAGAGCTCGGAGAAGAATGCCCTCAAATTGGGCACCCTGGTGCTGAACAGCCTTTGCTCTGCTGTGCCCCCTGATGAGAAAATCTTTAAAGAAACAGGTACTTAATTCCTCAGGAACACTCTTTATTTTAAGTCAATAGAGCTAATAAATATGACGGTTAAGCCTAAAAATTACTTTGGCACTAAACATGTCTAATCTGTAGGCAGAAAACACTGTCTCTATAGGATTTTGATTGCTTAGTTAAAATAACTGAAGGTTTGTAGCACATCATAGAATAGATGGTTCCACCACAAAACCGCGGTAGACTAAAGCGCGCTCGACGAACGCGTACGTGATGTCATCACAGCGCGACGGAAACAGCACGCTGTGAGCGGTAAAGTTAAAATTAAC